TTCCCGAAAATTTGAGAATATAATAATTTTATTCTTAGTATTACACTACATCTATCCCAAACTGATATACGTGTCCTTGCAAAAATGTTGATGACGTCATCGCAATTTTTTTTTAAATTCCCACTACAAAAATGTAATGAGAAAAAACACAATAGGCATGCAGTCGTCAAGTTTCCGACAGCGAGGGAAGTACTGTCTAAACTCTTTAGACCAATTTTTTCCTATTGTTGTAGTGTTGTTATTATTTGCGGTAAAAACTCTTATAAAAAAAAATCGGTTGTCTGTAAAGTCGGTTTACTGACGATAGTTGAACGTGACAACGTCTTAAGAAAATACTGATGGAATGGTAGCATTTTTCAAAAGAAAATTTTAATTGCTGTCCACGCAGACGCATCGCTCACTCAAGTAGGAGAGAGACGGATGGCGAACGCTGCCGAACGCGAAGGCCGATTGTGCCTCTTTGTCGCTCGTTCCGCGTTCTCGCTTGCACTTCAAGCCTTACATGGAACGCCTCAGAGCGAGGTAACGCAACGCCTCAGAGCGAGGTAACGCCGCATGAGTCATGTTTTTTCGTGCGTGCAGCCGGCTCAATCGAATTATAAGACGTTGTCACGTCAAAAGTTGTTCCGTTTCACGAGTTCTATTGTTGGTTAAAATGAATGTACTTATTTCTGAGACAGCCTGTATTTTCATTTTGATTTTTCCCAAGTGTTTTGTTCATCAAAATTTGTTTAACAGCGTGTATTGCTCCATTAACAGCCATTATTTTTTCTTTAACTTCTTCCACTTCTTCAAAACTGTAATCTTCAATTTTAATAATATTTGTTATTCTGGTTATCTTCTTCCCTTCTCGTACCATTTCTGTTAAGATTTCCTTCATTTTTCTTTGATTCTTTTCGATTATTATGATATTCGCATACGCTACTAACTCTTCTCCTCTTGACCTCAATTTCTCTGTATTTATATTCCTCAGCACGTATTCTGACGCTAGGTTAAACAAGGTGGCTGATAACGCATCTTCGTGTTTAATTTAAGCCCTTTCTCAATTTCTTCCGTTTTTTCCGTTTTGCGTTTGGATTGTCCCATTGTTCTTTTAATTGTCATATATTTCTAAGTCCACTTCGTATTCGCGCGCTTTCTCTAAAATTTGTTTAACTCTACGCATAGTGTCTACCGTTGACTTTCTTTTTGTCAATCCACCGTGATATTTTCCTAAAATATTCTTGGTTGCTCTGGTCAGTCAGTGCTGTAAGATTGTTGACATTATTTTGGGCTCTGTGTTTAGCATTGTAATTTCCCTGTAGCTACTTTGCTGGTCCCCTTTTTTGTGAACTGTTATAGTTTTCCCTTTTCCCACTCTGATGGCATTCTTTCTTCTTGCCGTATTTTCTTTGTGAGTTTTTTTTTTAATTTCTGCTGACTATAAATTGTAGGTAATTTTTTAAAATAGACTTTCCAGATCCTTTTTTTGTCCCTGATTCTCAAAAATGTGGCACAATTCTCGATGTAACTTCCATAGCTGTCCTAAAATTCACAACTTCGCTGGAAAATTGCACCCTAAATTTCTCATCACATTCTCGAAAGCATTTCAAATTCAAACTTTCAAGTTGACGATAATCTGACAACACAAAAATTTTATTATACATAATAAATGTCGTAAGTGATATAATTTTTCCAGGAAAAATTATCTCAGGAATGGTATTCGAGATGTGGCGCTGAATCATGTTTGTTGTGTTCCCTCGCCAATTTTGAATTAAATACAATCCCATAATGATCACTATTCAGCTAAAAATAAACTTTCACAATCTTGAATATTTTTTATTTTATGTTACGAGCTTTTCTTCCTTGCTTAAAACAAACATTGGAAAATGTATTGATTTTAATGTGATACTGGTTAAAATACTTTTCTTGAACCATGCAGGCTATTGTGCTCCACGTGAATGTTACACTACTGTGTATTTTTTATTAAAAATTCATTAATATGGCAACCTTTTTCTAAAATAACAACGGCAACGTGGCTAGTGTGTTTTTTAAAGACTGAAAGTCTGGTTAGGTTAAATAGCTCGAATGGGGTCATTAGATGTTTAACAGGAAGACTTCTCCGGGACGACAATGAAAAATTTATAGATATGAGAAACACGTACACAAAGCAAGAAATGAAATAAAAAAAGCAAAATATTATTAACAACAAAAAGACTAACAAATTACAACAAAGTTTAACGAGGCTAGCAAAGGATAAAGTGTATCCACACGATATTGTTGTTTACAATTTGCGTGTCTTGCAAATCTGGCTGCTCATCTGAACAATCAAGATCATAAGAATGTGAAACATTAGCTAAATTTATATCTAATTATTTGTGGTGGGTCTTGGAGACTGAAGTTTCCCATAGGTTTGTGCCATGAATGATTTCTTCACAATATCTAATGTTATTTTGCCACATACCTGGGGTGAAACTGGAGATTATTTCCGCCGATAAGTTTTTCGATTTTTAACAGTCAACCTATTAATTTTTATTGTTTGCCTTGACTCCATGCTAACTCAGTGGCGTTATATTCGCACTACGTGCGTTATATACGCAAAGCTACTATTCTTCTAAGGTTTGTGTATCGCAAAATTAGGAACCAACGTATTTTCAAAAGTGGGTGTAAAATTATATCAGTTATCAATTCTCTTGGATTGTTATCATTAACGATCAATGATGTATGTGTGCTGTAATAAGAGTTTGTATTCTGTATCCTTGTTATACGAGTTTGTGAGTAATTATGATTTATGAGCCACCATTTTCTAAATACTTGTTTCCGAGTAGCCTAAAATTATCTAAACGAATTGTTTCCGGTTAAGACCGTACGAAATAACACTAACTAATGAAATTCATTGGTCTCTATGCCATGGAAAGTCCGCATTGACTCTCGACTCTTACTGTCACCCTGTTATGTCAAGAAATATCAAATTATTTAATTTTTAATAAATAATGCATTTGCGCGGCCCAAAAAATAGTACTTTGCAGAAATTGCTTTTGTGGATCCTCATTTTTTGCAGCCTCGCTAACACTCATCCTGGCAAACTCGCTCGAATTCGTAAAAGCTCTTCCGATCCGCCGAAGTTTCATTAACTTCGCACCACTCTCTTGGGCTACTTCTTTAGTGCTTTTTTTTTATTATCCTTTTGAATCCAGTAAAATTGTTAGCAGGTGTTTCTCGGAGAGAGTATTTTCTTCGTCAATACAATAATTGAAATTAAGAATGTGTTCTTTCTTAGAATATGAAACAATAAAACATTTTGCTTTATTTAATATAACCGGTTATTTTTGCTCAAAGAAATTAGTCTATTTAAGTCCTCTTGCAACAGTTCACAGTCTCTTAGTGATTTTATTTCAAGAAAAAGTTTCAGGTCATCAGCGAAGAGTAGCTTGTAGCTAAGTATTACATCAACCACGTCATTGATAAAAATTATGAACAATAATGGTCCTAAGTTGGAACCTTGCGGTACACCAGAATCAGGTGAAGAAGAACTCGAGACAAAATTGCGGTGTTTAACAAATAATTCTCTGCCCTGAAGGTAAGATTTCATAAGCCTTAGTAAGGGTTCAGTAAAACCAAAACACCGGAGTTTATATAGTAAGATGTAGTGATCTATCTGATCAAAAGCCTTGCAAAAATCAGTGTAGATAACATCTACTTGGTGTTTATGATCGATTGCCTCAGAAACCAATTGACTGAAGGTAGCTAGGTTAGTAACAGTAGATCTTTTCTCAATAAAGCCGTGCTGAAAAGGTGAGTGATATAAAGCTTTTTATATTGGAATATATTATTTTGTATAATATGGGCTCAAAAGCTTTCGCAAAATTGCAAAGTATACATATGGGTCTGTAATTCTCTACGCGCGTCGGATCACCTTTTTTAAAAATTGGCGTAAATTGACTGAAGGTAGCTAGGTTAGTAACAGTAGATCTTTTCTCAATAAAGCCGTGCTGAAAAGGTGAGTGATATAAAGCTTTTTATATTGGAATATATTATTTTGTATAATATGGGCTCAAAAGCTTTCGCAAAATTGCAAAGTATACATATGGGTCTGTAATTCTCTACGCGCGTCGGATCACCTTTTTTGAAAATTGGTGTAACAAAAACCTTGTTCCATATATCTGGGAACACTGATGAAGTTAACATTAAATTGAAAATATAATAAAGCGGTTTAATTAAGATGTATGCACAATCTTTTAATAAAAAGCTAGGTACATTATCAATCAACACCAGAAGTGAACGATACCTTAAACGTTTTTAATACCTGAAAAATTTTATCTTCTGAAATTAGTGGGATTGCAACAGTTAGACTAGGTAAATCAGGTCCAGTGAAACTAAAATTTAAATTTGGATTAGAGACAGTAAAAGCGCTATTGAAAAATGTGCCAAAGCCGTTGACGATGTCAACTGGGGTGGATAATTCAGAGTTTGGATAAAACATAAGACCTGGAATTCTCGAACTCTTTTTCTTATTATGAATGTACGACCAAAATTTCTTCGGATCGGAAGAGATTTCATTTTGAATATTATGCATATAGTTTTTGTAAGCTGTGATTGTTAGAACTTTGTCCTGAAATATTTAAATTTATCAAGATAACATTGAGATTTATTGCATTTTTACTTCTTATAATAGTAGTTTTTCTGACCAATACGATTAATAAGATCCTGGGTAAACCAAGGTGGAAACCTGCGATTTCTAGTATTATTAAATTTAAAGATAGGTACGAAGGAGTCAAAAGATTTATACAATAAATCATAAAATACTGAACATGCATCGTTAATATTTTTGATGCTTTGAAGATTTGACCAGTCAGTAGTTAGAATTGAGTTTACAATTCAATGAAGTTAGCTTTTCTAAAATTATACTGTTTTGAATTTGAATTCATTTGAAAATTACTAATAGGTTTAACATGATGCTGACATTGAATTTCTAACGCAGGATGACGTTGTTACAAGCATCATTGAGGACTAAATTTAAATTATGAGCAGCACAATGAACATATTCTTGGTTTTTGAAGTCCTGAATAAGTCCCACTCATGTGTGCAGCTCCGTCGTAACCTTGTCCACGACATCTTGAAATATTTAAACCCATCTCAGTAATGCTAGCAAGAATATTTTCTGCCCAACTTGCAGCAGATTGATATGTGCCTTCACGCAACCCGAGAAAAGACTCATTAATGCAAAGATTTGTAATTTGATTATTTTCATCTTTTTCAAGCATTACATATCTAATAATCTGGCTTAATTGGTCCGTCTTTGAAATGTCTTGAGTAGTGTCCGTAATTGTAGTGAAAAACGGAGAATTTTGGATTTTTTGTAAAATATTTTGTTTCACTTTACTGCTGATAATAATATGTACTAACTCATTCTGGATGGCGGGACTAATATACTTGAATCTATTAGGATTATTTTCCGATAAATGCAGTTTTAGCACAGGATCATATTTAGCCAGCAAGTCAATAATAGTTAAAAAATTACCTTTGCATGGAGAATTTATATTTTCTCGATGCTCACGAAAAGGAAGATCGCAAATAGCTAATGTAATTTGTAACATCTGCAATTCGTTTTAATATTTCTCTCCATTTATTAATTTCTTTTTGTTTTTGGCAAAAAAATTATACTGTCTATACGTAAGTATAGAGCATCAGTATAAATATCTTTTTTCCAAAGATCATAAACCCTACAGGCCCCGAAACGGAAACGACGACGGAATTTTCATGATCTTTAATTTTTTTTTTAAAGGCCTTGCCAGTCATTGACGCCCTTGCACCAAGCCTCTCTAAAATGAATATCGTTTCTGTCTGCAAATGACCAATATATAGATAACCATTTTCGTTCCACTTTAATCGTTGTAGGAGTGACAAATGTATACCTTATAAGAAACAGAAAAACATCTACCTTTAGCGTCTTTTTTAAAAATTGTTTGTACCTTACATGGCCCAGTCTTTCGAATTATTTGTTAAATTCTGAAGTATCTAATTACCATATTACTATATAATCCCATATCAGAATGAAAAATTTCATCTTGAAGTAAATTTTCATTAGTTTCTATTACAATCTGGGTTGGTGTATCAATATTTTCCCTGGCTAGCTTTTGATCGTGTGCCTAAGCGTCGTCTTCTGTTTAAATTAGATCATTATGGAATAAGTAAGAGGCAGCCTTCTTCGCTGGATAGACTCCTTTCTCACCGATCGTTCATTTAGGGTCAGAGTTGGCAATCCTCTTAGTGCCCCGGTTAAATTACTGAGCTGAATCCCTCCCCAGGGTTCCCTACTCCGGCCCTTGTTGTTTGTAGCTTATAGGTACGTCAGATATCACCAACGGTAATGTGCTATGTAGCCAACGATGTAAAACTTTACAAATTTAGCGCGAACTGTATGATTTTAGGCAACGATGTCACCTCAATCCACACCTGGTCCCGTGACTGTTTAATTCCATTAAATATGTCTAAGTGTATGGTACTCCACTTCGGGGGACAAAACCCTCGGAATTGTTACTGCTTTAATGGCATCGAGCTTTCCAAAACGAACACCTGCTCCGATCTAGGTGTTACCATTACATCAGATCTTTCCTGGTCAGAACACGTTGCTTGCATCACCAGGAAGGCTAACAAAACAGTGGTAATACTTGGTTTCTGGAATGTCAGCAGAATCAAAAGCCACGTATGTCTCGTCCGTCATCCATTACAATAATTTTTCCTGACTGCTTTGGAGTCCTTTTGCCCACAATTTTGCAACAAGCTCTCTTTGCCCGAACTTTTTGATCATGAGTGTAGTAAAGAACTGTCTTACATTTAAGTGCATTAATTTCCAATCTCCTAGCTTTCTACCTGATATATTCTTATAATCACTGTTTCCAGTGCGCTCATATCTTGATAAAATGTTATACAAAAATCTTCTATTTTGGCTTTCGTCAGCAAAATGAGACACAGTATGATACCTGTCGTTAGGGATATTTTCATAATAGTGACATACACATTTAGCAAAGTTTTCTCTTGCTGCACGTTTCATTTTTGACAGTAAATTATTAACAAAACCTGATGTCACACGCTTTATAGTTTGACAACTGCTTAATAATTGAATTGCCAGTGAATATACCTAGGTACTTGATTTAAAATAGTATATTATTCAACGAACGGGTAATGATGGCAATTATTCACGAAAATGAGGGTTTGATCCCACGAGCCGAAGGCGAGTGGAGCAACTCTTTTGAGTGAATAATTGCCATTACCTTCAAGTAGAATACTATACTTTTTCTACGACTGTCAAATGTTTTGGCTTTAAGCTTGTTAAAAATAGGTACTTAATTTTGTTGATATAAGAACCAATTATTCGAAAGAAATTATTTAAGGATTTTATTTATTTTTGTAAAACTTTATCATACACTGAAATTGATTGGAATGTTGAAACAATTATAATTTTGTTGATAACAACTAATTATTCGAAATGAATTAATTAAAGGGCTTATTTATTTATTTATGCGTCACATACATTGTAATGTTAGAAAATTTATAAAAAGTAATTCCCGTAGAGGATGTCAAAAAAATATTGCTATTTTCATTTTTATACGTTGTTGTCGAGGAAGTAGAGCACCATTTCGTCATCGCTCCCCATTTTTTAACAAATTCACTCAAAATTAAATTAAATAATAGAACAAAATTCTATTTTGCTTTTTGATACAAACAGTTATTGTTTTGTTTATTGTCATAGTTATCTCATTTGAGATGCGACTGCGATTTAGGTGACAAAGTGAATAATGAAAAAGCTCTCACATGATTGGTGGCATTAAGTGTGAATAATAATGGTAAGTTGCTCTGAATGGCTGGATGACCGTGAATAATGCAAGCTGTGGATAACGAGTATTGTTATTTAAGAAGAAATGCACCGGTATTGGGCATATTATTTGATAGTCATAGAAAAAAAATACTTGTTTATTAGAGTCATTATATTTCATCGATCATAGTTTATTATTTGACGAATACCAAACATTTATTGTCTGTATGTCACTATAAGCATTAAATGAAATTATTATTATTATCATTATTATTAATAATAGTGAAAACACCTAATGGATTATTTTAAAATTCTTACCATATTTTTTCACAATTTTGAGGATGGTGAAAGTTAATATGCTTAAATAAAAAGTCTTTATGGGTTATTTAATAACCAACCCCTATTTTTATTCCATGTAATTTATAATATTAATTCAAACAATCATTAAAAAATAAAAGCAACATTTATTTGTTATCCAAGCACATGTTGGCGTGTTGAATCATGCGTGTTGACAGGTGTTACGCGATATAAAATCCAGAGATATGTAAAAGACAGATGCGGTTATAGCTTTCCCGATCTAGGGCCAACATCTATGATCTAAGAGTAGCAATACTTTGTGTCGCCTATCCTTTTCTATATCAGCACCAGTACTATGGATTGCCAACATCGATCACTCTCTAAAAGGTGGTTGTCTTGTTATTGGCCCGTTCTGATGGCGGCAATTATAAATAATCATAACCACCCACAGTCTGAGTGGTCTGACAGGGACCGGCACAAACACAAGAACGGCCATCAACGACAAACGTTGCGCCAACTGATTGGTTGCGCCGTACAGAGCGAGACCTTCAGATATCGGGTTACCATTGTACGTACTAGAGAAAAAGAGGGAGATATAAACGTACAGTGACATCTTGGGTCTAAACGTATGTCCACGAGAACATTAAATATCTGTATCTAGTCTTTTACATATCTCTGATAAAATCTTGTAGATTACCTGTAGGTATATGCAACACAAAATACAAGTTTTAATCCTTTCAACTCACTGTTTCTATAAAAGATAGCTACGTTTATAAATTATTATCCATCTGAAACAAAATAATTGTATTTCTGTAAGAGTTGCTCTTCTTTGTACTTTATTTAACTTTCATCTATTTTATAAGTCGATTTTCCAATGGAAACAGAATTTAACGATCGTCAAAACCTCCAGATTAAAAAATTAAAACACGATTAAAACTTCAGCTAACTCATCGACACGATTACCCACTGACTGAGATTTTAAACGAAGAGGATTTAATTAAAAAAAAAAGTAATGAGCAATTTAAAACGTGTATGCCATGATTAAGTGGGACTTATTACAGCTATTAATTAAAAAACTTTGCTGACATATTTTGGCAGTGCTTTAAAATATTAATTTTCACTAATATTACAATCTGTCACTTCTAAAGTTCCAGATATTTGAATGGCAAATATAACCGAAGTTTTATAATGTACCTAATGCATAAATCGCCATTTCGACATGAAAAGATAGTCATTAAAATGGCGGACAAATAGTAGGATTCAAGTTGATATATTAATTGCCTCGCCGCCTATTACGTGTACCTAACCGAAGTAATTTAGGTTCAAATAATTTAAAGGATTTTACACATCCTCTTAAATATCATAGTAATTTAAATGCATGTATATATACATTTGTAGGCTAATTAGACCCCTTTATTCTTTGGAAAATTCATATATGTGCCTACTTTCGGAAAAGTAATATAAATACGACTCATTTTCAGCTTAATAGTACACAAATAAGCTCTTTTAAAGTAGTGGCTCCAATTTATTGTTACAAGAAAATGTTTCAGTGAACAAACACTAAAGAACTAAACTAATCTTATTCTTGGTTACAGTGGTGAAATATTTAATCATAAGTATTAATTAATCCATTGTTAATAGTGTTTATTTTATGCTAAAAAATTATCGCATCCTTGAAGACTGCTTCCATGTCAGCTGTCAATGTTAGCCAGTGACGGTACCATAAAACCAATGGATTACAGAAAAACATTAAAAATATTGAATTGTTATTATGTAACTTAAAAAATATGAAAATTAATTCACAATTCTTAACTAATCCATTACATTAATAATACTATCTCGTATACTTCGACTTTCTTTGGAATGCACTCTAGCTTCTAGCACGGTCTTTTAATTACCCCTTTTTGTTTTTTTCGAACTATTAGAACTCGAAATAATGAAAACTTTTTCAAAATGTTGGTTTTTATGTTATGCCATATCAGTACACTTTACAATTTAGAATATTTTCAACATTTTCATTTTGTTTTGTTATACTTAAACACAGATACGTAAGATCGTGATTTTTCGTTAGTATATAATTCGATAAATTCATAAAAAGAATTTCTAGAATAACAAATTTTTGGAAATTATGACTTGCAGGAAAAACTAAACTGTTGGTTCAAATTTCTTCAAGCACGCAAATTTTGTGTATGATTTCTCAATTTTTTTCGAAATACGAGGGCCGATCCCTATGCCTCGCCCCTGACTTCTGTCTAATAAAAATTTGTTTCCGAAGGACTAAATGTAAAAGAATCCAAAGGATTAGCACCTCATTGTTCTAACCTAGCACCAAGGTCCACCATTGGAAGATAACGAAAGAGTACAAGGAGGACGCATTAGTCCTAAATTTATTAATGAAGGGAAGGAATACTCGTGCTCGTTTGATTCAAGCTAGATTTCATTAAACCCCAAAAAACTAATTAATTATACTTATATTTTCTAATT